AGCCTGTGTTTGGGCATCCCTGATCTAAACAGTCTCTGGGTCAATGCATGTAAAGATTTTGAACATCTTGGACACTTAAGGCTGAAGGAAAGTAGTGAGAGTAAAAGTACAGATACTGCACTAAAAATGTACTCAAGTGAGAGTAAAAGTACACATTTTTTAAACTACTCAGTAAATTACAATTCCTGAGAAAAAGTAAGTAATTACAGTAATTTAAGTATTTGTAATTAGTTAATTAGTTACACCACTGTATGTATATATATATATATATATATATATATATATTTATATATATATATATATATATATATATATATATATATATATAATGTCATTGCACCAAAAAAAAAACTTAAAGTTTTTTTTAATTTATATACATAATAATATAATTTGACCAAAAATAAATCTGTTACTGTGGAGTGATTTTACATTGTCAGTACGAAGCTTAGGATGAAATGACCTGATGTGTAGGAGTGTGGGAATTTTAATGTTTCTTATTTTCAAAAATACATTCACTGATCATAATGTCCATTCCTGATGTCATTTAATAAATTATGCATTTGAGAATTGTTTGTAGTGTCAAAAGAGTTTAATTAGAGTAAACAAAATGTAGATATCTGTGGATGATTACTAATAAATATATTAACTGATCATAATTCCCAGGCATGATGGTGATTTTGTGAAATTTTACAGTATTAAGACTGTTAATCCTATTAAGAAAAGTTGAATGTTTGCAACAAAAAAAATCTTTTGGGGAAAAATATTACAAAGAATGTATTACACTGATCATTCAAAATATTTCTGTTTTTTTAAGTGAATGGTGTTCTTTAAATCTTAAATTCATCAGAGAATGCTAAAAAAAAGAATTTTCTCTACACGTTTAAACAGCACTTTTTTTTTTTTTTTTTGCATAGATAATTAGAAATATTTTTTGAACTACAGCTCAGCATGGTTGAATCATCTCTGAAAGATTATGATATGGTGAAGATCAGTGTAATAACGGCTGCTGCAAATTTAGTTAGAAGTGTTTATTTCATGAACACTCACATGGTTAAAGAAATGCCAGTAGATGAAACCACCATCTGCCAGTTTGAGTTGGAATAAAATCCCTCCTTATTCCCTATTCCTCCTTGCCTTTTCTGTCAGAACGAAAGAGCATCTGGTTTTCACCCGCTGTGTTCAGAGAGCATGTTGGTGTCAGCCTGGTGCTTTGTAAAACATGCAACCCACAGTTAATATTATACCAGCAGATTTAAATCATTCATGTTTTTTCCTTTTAGTTTTAGCCGCCTGTACATTTGTATAACACTCCAAATGTTATACTTCCAGTAGTTTAATTGAAAAGAAGCCCATTGGGTATTTCATATCTTAATAACGATATATATCATGACATTGTACCATTTTTGTAAATTCAATATATTAAGAGTTTGGCTCTGTGGTTAGCACTGTCGCCTCACAGCAAGAAGTTGCTGGTTCGAACCCCAGCTGGGTTCTCCGTGTTCGCGTGGGTTTCCTCCGAGTGTTCCGCTTTCCCTCACAATCCAAAGACCTGCGCTAAATGTGGATTGAATAAGCTAAATTGGCATTAGTGTATGAGTGTGACTGTGTGTATGGGTGTTTCCCACTACTGGGTTGTGGCTGGAAGGAAATCCACTGCATAAAATATATGCTGGATAAGTTGGAGGTTCATTCTGCTGTGGTGACCTCTGATAAATGCAGGGACTAAGCCAAAGGAAAATGAATGAATGAATGAATATACACTACATGTAAAGGACTAATACTGCGTCCAAAATTGCATACTAGCCACTAGGGAATGAAATTGAATTTGAATTTACTACACAACCATTAGAAAAGTACATTCTGTCGTAAGTACTGTAGTATTAATGTGAGTAGTATTGAACTCTTAGTCATTTCGCTTCACTTCCATTCTTGAATTGTCCTGCGGTGTATTATGGGATAGCATAGCGCAGTGTTTCTCAACCATGTTCCTGGAGGCCCACCAGCACTCTCAGTCTTAGTGACTCTCAGTCCCTGCTAATGAGCTGATGATTTGAATCGGGTGTGTTTGGTTAAGGAGACATGGCGGTATCTTGCCGGTAGTAGTAGGTCATCCAGTAATTCAGATACACTACTCTGCTCGCATACTGTTTTTAGCATGCTATATAGTACGGTATAAATACGGACGCAGCATATTTCTTTTTTATGTTTTAAAATGTATATACTCACAAATATGCCCATTTCAAATGTTTGAATTTAAAAAATGTGGAAATATAAAATAAATATTAATAAAACACTTTTTTAAAGATTAATTATAAGTCCAACTTAAGAAATATTGCTAAATAAAATGTGAAATGTAAGCTTTAAACTGTAAACATTACAACTTTCTCACGATGCTGTTATTCATGTGTTGTCTGCATCCCCGTAATGACGTGTAATCTTGCGCTAATATAAATTACGATTCAAATTTACCATTTAAATCATACACTGTAAAAGCCAACAGTCAACTTTATCAAATGAAATGAGTGTTGTTAACTCAAAATGGACTGATACTTAATTCTACTCATTTGATAAGAGTTTTGAACTCAGTGTTGAAGGTAATGAGTTAAATATCTTATTACTTAAATGGAGTAAGTTCACAGTACTCGTATAGATTAGTTTTTTACTCAAATGGTTTTCGCATGTGATTAATTTAAAAGGAAAGAAAAAATCAAAAATCGCTGTTTACATGGTAGATTCTTAATAAGAGCATTAGCTTAATCATATTAAAATCGGAGTATTGCTGTTTTATGTAAATCTACTCAGAAAGTGTCAGATGAAGTCGGCATTCCTCTGCCATTCAGCATGCGCCCTCCAATGTTTCATTAAGTTTGACTTATTTCCTCCTTAAACACAACCAAAGTGTATGCTTCGCGTTGTTGTGTTAGAATCCTTGTGAAATACAGCCATACTTTAGAACGCTTAGTTTAAGCAAATTTGATGAACGCGATCATGTGTGATGAATCTGAAAGGAGTCGCTCCGGCTGCCCTGTCCTGCATGCGGTGTGTGTGTGTGTGTGTGTGTCTGTCTGTCTGTGTGTTAGGGCTGAGCGATTTTTCCGATTTTTTTTTTCAATTAATTCGAATTTACGTTTTCAGACGATTTTATTTGGAATCAAATCGAGAAATCGTGATTGTTAAAAAATATATATTTACTACATTATAATGGCACCAATGCGCTTTGGTTCACTCTGTATGAAGCAGGAAGCACACCAGAAGCGCCTCTCGGCGCAGGTCATATTTCAGCCGCGCCACAGAGCGCCATCTGATTAGTTTCATGTTAAATATCATGCGAATGTGTTTGTCTGGTGTGTGATAGTTTAAACTGTCATGTGCGCGCCGTGTCATGGCGCTTCTGGTGTGCGACCTGCTTGACTGCCTGTTAAAGCGTGAAGTCATGTAGGATTTTACTTGTTGCATTATTCTGAGTCGCGTCACTTTGGATTGTCAAGACATATTCTCTCATCAAGTCGATAAACTCAATCTCAACATGTATGAAGGACATAAAAGCCTGCCATGTGAAAAACCCCGCCGATCTTTTGGTTTAAACAGGAGCAAAGGTGAGGGCCTGTAGCAGTGAAAATAAAAGTACCCGCCCCCATGACGTCATTTAGCGGACCTAGTTGAAAACAGGACAGATCAGGCAGCATAATACAGAGAGTGGAGCAAAGCCCATCAAATGATCGGTATTTAAAAGGGGGAAAAATAAAAATAGATTAACTGTATTATTTTATATCAGACACACATTTGGTACTTGTTTTTGCTCCTGCTATACGTCCACAATTTTACACATTGGGTTAAATTAGGCTTTACAGTTTCCATGTTTAGTCCTATTCTTCCATTCTTTTTAAGAAAAAGGCAGCATCATTACAACCTGTCATTCAATCAGAAGACAAAGCCAAAACCGAGCTGACAGCCAATCTTTCCTAGGCAAAACTTACAAAAAATACCTCTATATTCCTGCAAGTGCAATATTTACACAAATATTTCTTATTCAAATCTTCAGCAACGCTATTTAACTCGTGAATTTGTTTTACATTTATTTACACCTTGACCGATTTTTGCATGATATGGCCATTAAAAATACAATGTTCCTTAACCAGATGGTTTAAGTTACTTTTAAAGAGAGTGTTACTTCAGCCATGTTGTTGTAATGTTTTGAGAAGACTAGTAACACAATAAAAAAAAAAATCGAAATCGAAATTGTGAATCGGTCAAACTTTATAAAAAACCTAGATTTTTTTTTTTTTTTGCCAAATCGCCCAGCCCTACTGTGTGTATAAATATATATATATATATATATATATATATATATATATATATATATATATATATATATATATATATATATATATATATATATACACATACATACATACATACATGCATACAACCCTACAATCAGGCTGGGCTGAGCTGAGCTGAAGTAATATGAAAAAAATTACCCAGATCTACGGTTGACTTTGCTGTCTCGACCTTTCAGATTTAAGGGTGTGAGGATTAGACGTTAATGAGACATCTCCTCATTCTCTGTTGAAATATGCACCTAACTCGCATCTAATTTGTTTTCCCTCCTCTGTCATGTCTCTGCGCGCGAGTTTATTTATGAGAATAGGGAAGTGATATTTATTTTGCATCTTGCTGTCTTTGGCAACACACACGCATAAGATGTAACCACATCCCTAATTATTGTCCAATTGTTTTATTTTTTATTTTTTTGGATTTCCCTGAAATACAGTCTGGGATTGGTCTTAAGTCTTCCTGAAGGTCAAACAACCAACAATGACGATACAGACAGAGGAGAAACAAGCCCTTTCCTTCCACTTAATTCTCCATGACTGATTGATTGCACCCGATGCTCAGTTGGTTCCTAAAGCTCTTGTTTTTCCTTTCAGACATCGTAATAGATGCTACCATCAATCGCAACCAGCGTTTCCATCTTCTCATGTTGCTGATTTCCGCTGGCTGGTTGTGTGTGCAGGCATCTTTCCAGTCTACATGTGGATCCAGGAGTCTGCAGGCTGGTTAGATGGTTGTCACGTACCCAGCAAACATCACAGTGTTTTATTGTCCATTTTATGGCGTTAGGAATTTGTTGTCTGCACACATCGACTCTTCTAGTGATCTACTGCATGAAGTAAATGCATTAGACTGAAGCTTTTATCAAGAGCGACTGAATGTGTTTTGTTGGATTTCGTATTTTATCGTCATGTGTTGATATTAATATAATGCAGTTAATGGGGCCTTGTGATTTTCTGTAATGCAAAAAACGTGGACTGAATCACGAAAGGTAGTCATAAAAATGAAATTGGCTGAGTAACGTGGAATGTTGTGAAGTTTGGATGAATACGCTTGAGGAAGGCGCATGAACTTAATTAAATTGTGATGTTAAGTTTACAAGTCTGTGTAAATAAATGGCTAGAACAAAAAACTGTATAAAGACAGAATCTGAGAATCACTTCACCATTATTTTATGAATATATTATTACATTACAATACAATACAGTATATAATACTAATATTTAATAATGCAAAAAGAAACTCCTAAAAATCACTAAGTATGGTCTGGTTTAGGTTTGCGTCAAAAGTATCGAGTTCGGTACCGATCGGTAGGGAAATTTTAAAAATGTCTATTTTCCTGTTAACATTTGAGTCCTGTTGAGTGTGTTGTGTTTGACTGCTGATTGGCCATTGTGTTTAAAGTGTTTCAAGGCCATGGTAATCAGTCGATCCATCAGCAATTCGCTGGTATGTCAGCTCATAGATTGACCAGCTGATCTACGCAACTTAAAAATGCTCAAGTGTCCATGCATATGTTTGCACTTGGTGAACAGTGGTGAACTGATGCGTTAAAATTTCTTTGACAGCGCTCAAATTTTAGTGGGAAATGGATATTTTTAAAATTTTAGTACTGATTCGTACCAAACTCGATACATTTGACAACTCTAATTTAGATATCAGAATGGAGAATCACTTTACAATATTTTAGTATTTTATCTGAGAGGAATTCTCATCAAATTAGATAGCTGTACATACACAAACTCTGTCTTCAATGCATCAAAATACAAATTTGTTTTAATTTGAAGGAATGAAGGAAATATGTTACTATTGTATGGTAGAATGTTCTTTTTAAAGTATTACTACTACAATAAATAAAACCTTAAGGAATAACTACTCAATTGTTCTTTCAGGTTTTATTTTAATAGGAATAAATGGAATTTGAGAAATTATGAGCCATTTCTGTATTTTTATTTGAGTTAATCATTTGAACTAATGTTAAAGTTAAGATTTGTGATTTCCATTAACTGGACATGACTTATGGACATACATTTGTAGTTCTTTTCTTTGGAATGTTGTTAAACTTGAAGGATTTCTTGTGGACTTGTGGAATCCAATGGAATTAGCTAATATTGTGTTTTATTTAGGGCTACTGGTGACATTTTTTAACATAATTTTTTTAATTAACTTAGAAACTGTATTAAATACTGTGTTTTGTTGCTTGTTTCTTTTTGTTTTTCTGTCATCAATCCAATTTTAACTTGTAGTTAACTTATAGTTGGGTTCAACTTTGTGTGTGTGTGTGTGTGTGTGTGTGTGCAAAATACTATATTGTATTTAAGGTATATTTTGGAACTTCTTGCATTCCCTGAGAACTGATCTCATGACCTTGGCATTGCCATAATTTACTGTTTTAAGCTGCTGGAATGCGGGTATTTCTGTTTAATGCTTTAATGCTTTTGTGCCGTTGTTTCAGTTTTAGAGAGGTGTGATATGATGTTTTTTATACAGTGCTAAGCATCCCTCACAAATCTCTCATTTAAGTTAATATTTTCTATAGGAAGATTTACTATATTTGTGCTTATACATTAGATTAATCAGTACTAAAGCCAAATATGGAGCTTATCTAAGAAAATAACTTAAGATAGCGCTCCAAACGCCCAAATGTACATGTTTGGGAAAAATATTTTATAAATAATTAAAAAAAAAAATTAAGAGAAACAAAAATTCTAAAAGTTTGTTGAAATGTTGTAGCTAAAATGTTTAATATGTTTTTGCATGAATTTAAATCTTTCTATTTCTAACAATGTTTGGTGACTAAAATAAATACATTTTATAAATGTATTCGATTAATAAATCTTTTCTTTTTTCAAATGCACCAAAATATATTACCCATTTTCACTGAGAACTGGATAATATTCCTTCTCAAAATGGGGTCTACATATTTATGTTAAGCACTGTATATAAAATTTCAGCAAGAGTTCAGTGCATCACAAAGTTTTCAGAAATCCGTTTCCTTCGTTTTACACTTATATTTGATTAAATTACAGATGTACCATGTGACATTGAAGAAATATCAAGGATGCCTTTGTTGCAAGTCATATGCTAACATTTCATCTAATACATGCTCGCACTCAGCAGTGATCTGACATTGATTTGTTTGGTGATGAATCCCAGAAAAATGACTGTCGCTGCCCGGATCTTTGCTTGTTGGGTGTGTTATCTGTAATATGTCACCTGACAAGCAATTTCAAATACTTGTAATGCTGAAATCATCCAGAACATCATAAATGTCAAGAAGGATATGCTTTTTCCTTACAAAGTGCAGAGCATCCCTCAGGTTTGGAGTAGGAGATTTACAAGACACTTTCCAGCAAAGAAATTAATAACCAGAATGTTGTTTTTTGTGGGAGACCTTTTTTTATCAGTGTCTAATTTAAAGTTTAAAGTTTTTTCTTTATTTTGTTCATATTATTGCATTACAATACAGAACACTTCCTAATATTATAATTTAATCATGCAAAAATCATGCAAATAATCACTAAGTATGGTCTGGACTATGTTAACATTAAAAGCATCGAGTTCTGTACCAATTGGTGGTACAATTTTAAAATTGTCCATTTCCCTGTCAGCATTTGAGTGCTGAATGTGTTGTGTTTGACTGCTGATTGGCCATTGGCCAAAGTGTTTCAGGGCCATGTTAACCAGTCGATCCATCAGCAGTTTGCTGGTATGTCAGCTCATAGACAGACCAGCTGATCTACGCAACTTTAAAATGCTCAAGTGTCCATGCGTATGTTTGCACTCGGTAAACAGGATTGAACTGATCTTCACAGCCAATCACTGTCATTTCTGTTGAGCACGTGAACACAATGTCCTATCAACGATGTTTAAGAATGTGCTCAAATTTCTTTGACAGCGCTCACATTATTGTGGGAAATGGACATTTTTAAATTTCAGTACCAATTGGTACCGAACTAGATATATTTGACAACTCTAGTTTGTATACCAGACTGGAGCTTTCCCATTTGTTTGGCTTGGCTAGACTGGATCTGTTTACTGCATCTAGCACAACAATGTTATCTGCCATTTTCAGTTTGTGTTTACAGGGTGATAAAATAACATTTGGTCCAAAGGTCTGTCTTTCGTTTTGTCGATCTGTTGGGATCTTCATGTGTCTCTCGGTTCACTGAAAGCTTTATACGTTTCTGAAGCACCTGTCGTAATCTAAATGAAATGACGGTGGGCCAGACGTGTGCTGGCTAAAGTCATCCTACGGCTTCATGATGTTTTCCAGGAAGAACCTGCCAGTTCAGGCTGAACTCGAGCTCTCCGATCTGTTTGGAAAGTGGAGTTGTTCTGATTGAAAGCGGGTCGGCCGTTGGGGTTAATTTATAGCTGCAGCGTTTATGTGGCTGTCTCACTATAAATCTTCCAGTTCCACACCAGCCTAATGACTTTAGCAGAGTCCCTGATTTTCATGTATATCTCGAAATAAATGCATGTGGAATTAAGTCTGTGCAAACTTTATTACAAGATTAAGTCATCGTCTGTTAAGAAAATCATTATTTTTCTCCAGTCTGCATTCTTCTTGTTGACTTTTCCAGTGGGACCTACAGGGCTGCACTCCAAATAAGATAAAGAACAGAAGAAAGAAAATAGGTGCACCTTTCATCCAAAAGAGGAGGATGCCATTCCTCCCGATTTACTCATCCTTTGACACATCCTACACACAACTTCAGCATTTTCCAAATATTACCTCACCTTGCATGTTTTCTGAGCGGAAGTTTCTCTGAACCCTGGAGTGAAAGAGAAAATAAACTCACACAGACTGAGGTAAAAAGAAATACTTATTTCCACTGTATAGACATTGGTAGAAAAGTCAAGGGTGTTCCGGTGACATCCACAGTTGCGGCTTGCACATGCAAAAATAGAGTAGATTCAGAATAGTTTTTTATCCTATAGCCTCTTAATAAAACGGTTTGTCTATTTGATTGTTTAACAAAAATAAGTACTTACTGTGCATTCACACTGCATCAAAGTTTGTTCTGTTTACCTTGGTGACAACTCTGTCAACTTTCACAGACCTGGCGGATATAGCGTCAACATTCGATACATTGATGTCGTATTTAAAGGGGCCATTGCAGTACATCAGCAAATTATCGTTATATTTAGCATGAGATTCACATTAAAACGAAAAAAAAAAAAGCATATATAACAATAATGCACATCAATAACTCACCAATCATTCTATTTTTAAGGTTCTGTAAGAAAACATTGTAAATAATTGGAAATTCGGCAAAAAAAACAATTGTGGTCGGAACCAAAGTTCACAGGACTGTGTTCTCTGGAATCTTCTCAAGCGGTGGACTTTTACATTCCGATTGCTTGCCGCTGAACCACTTCATAGCTCATTACCATAAAGTTGACTTGATTTCAACTCGCCTGGCGAATTAATCGCTTTTCGCCAGTTAACGCCACCGGTTACCATTGAATATGAATGACTTAGTTTAGGCCTACTTTGATGCTCTTGACACCTTCGGTGTGAACTCACAGTTATAAGCCAAATATGGAGCCAGCTCAAATCAGTAATGGCAAATCAGAAGACTGCTAGCATTTTGACTCATTCATTTTTTTAAGTATCCTAGGACTAATATTATTAGAGTAATAAAAGAAAAGCATAATTTAATAATGCACATGGGAACATACTTCAAACAACAACAAAACATTTGAGATGGTTTGCTTTTTCTTTCAAATCACTATGAAGTGCA